GGTTTGGTGAGTGCCCAAAAGCCGGAAATTTCGAAGCAATTTCGGTGACAGAAAAGAGGGTCGTGAGGGGGTTTCCGGGTTTCAGTGTCACTGTTTCTGCATGCCAGCAATTTATTGCCAGGAAACCATAAACCCTGAAGCACAGCTGTGTCCGGTCTCCCGTGGCCTGGAGGGTTCTTGTTCAGTTTGCCTGCTCAAGGATTCAACCTCTCCTGGGTTCCTACATAAAATCCCTGTTATTGTTGCCTATTTTTCTCTTGGGCAGATTTTGGGATAATAATGAACAACAAAAAAGGAAGCAAAAACTCTTGGCATCAATATCTTTGAAAAAATTATGCTGGGTGGTTAGTCAGCAGCAAAATTCGGTTTTGTCACATTGTTGCTGGTGCAATCCAGGCCTTGGCTTTGAGGGGTCTATCAGTTGAGTTCCCAAAGACTTTCAGGCCAAGGTTTTTCTTGCCTTTGACATATGGAAAAACTCCTTGCTAAGGAAAACCCCCAGCCTGTACACAGAACAGTACGTTCTTCTGGATAATCAAAAGATCTGCTCCAATGTGAGTGGCTTTCTTTTTTAGCATGTTAACTGAAGAGAAACAAAATATGACACCATTGCACTCAACATATCCTTCCAAATCTAGGATCACAAGGAAAAACTTACACTAGCTCTTGATGAGTTTCAGCGAAGGTTCTGCGCTTGGAAAATCCCACCCTCACTTCAGTTGGGTTTTTCCCTTGCAAGGAGTTTGCAAAAAGTCAAGCTGGCAAGGGAAACCTTGGCCTGAAAATATTTGGGAACTGATTGACCCTCAAAGCCAAGTCCTGGATTGCACCAGCAACAATGTGACAATGAAAACCGAATCTTTTGCTGCTAACTCACCACCCAGCCATTTTTTTTTTTTTTTTTTAAAGAAATTCATGCCAACAGTTCTGTCTTCCTTTTTTTTGATTATTCTCCCAAAATCAGTCCAAGAGAAAAAAAGGCAACAATAACAGGGATTTTATGTAGGAACCCAGGAGAGGTTGAACCCATGAGCAGGCCAAACTGAACATCAACCCTCCAGGCCAGGGGTCACAGCTGTGCTTCAGGGTTTATGGTTTCCTGGCAATAAATTTGCGGGCATGCAGAAACAGTGACGATGAAACCCGGAAACCACCTCCCGACCCTCTTTTCTGTCACGGAAATTGCTGCAAAACTCTCAGCTTCCCGGCGCTTAAAAAATCCTTCTTCGACAACGGCGTCGACCCAAATTGCCAGGGCAAAAGTGGGCTTCATGAAAATAGTAGCACATGTACCAGACAAAACCAAGGAGAACATTTTGAAAGAGACAAATTATATTCTGCTATTCAAAATATCAAAAAGGAATTAAAATGCTTCTGCTCCCAGTGAAAACTGGGAGAAAAGTCAATCACAGATGACCAATTCTGAATTAATACAAGTTTATTTCTGCGAGGGTTCCCAATAAAACACAAAGAGTGATTCCATGAGAAGAGATCCTTTCCTCCAAGGAAATGAAATAAAGGGTCAGAAAAAATCCATCACACACAGTTGAGACCAATTCTGCTTCTCTTGATCAAAAACCCCAATTCTTTGCATCCAAGAACCTTGAAGTTCCATTTGAGTTTTCCTGTGTGTTCTGTGAATATTTAGAATATAAAAAATAGTATCCTGCACTATTTTGCAAGAATAAACTCCCTGTTCAGTTGTTTGTTGAACAATTGATGCCAACTTTTATTTCTTCATCAAAAGCTATCTCTGTGAAAAGTAGTTGCTCTCATAATTTCCAACACTCCCTAAAATATGTTGCAAAACTCAAAATCTGTTCAGCAAATTGAAGGTTTACAGCCTTCTTCTCAAAACAAAATTTTAGTACATATATTTTTGGATCAACAAATTCTGGTTTGTGTTCAAGGCAAGTGACTGCAATGATGCATTAGGTCTCAATTGTGTGTGATGGATTTTCTCAGACCCGTTTCTTGAAAGAAAGGATCCTTTCTCCCAGAACCCATCTTGTTTGTTTTTTTTTCACGTGGAAGACCTGGGCGAGGTAAAGGGGGGTTAATTCAGAAATGGTCTATAGCTGACTTTTCCCTCTTTTTTTCTTGGAGGAGATGAGTTCTAAAACATTTTGATCTTAGAAATAATGCTTCCCTTTGTCTTTTGAAAAATGTCATTTGTTTTGTCATGTACTACTGCTTTCCTGAAGCCCACTTTGGCCCTGGTAATTTGACTTGGGGGGTCCATGTGGATAGAAAAGGGAATTTGTTGGCAGTTGTTGAGGATCCGTTTTCTTGTGTGTTTTTTCAAGTGCCAGGAAGCTGTAACGTCCCCCACCAATTTCCGTGACAGAAAAGAGGGGTGCTAGGTGGGTGTTGGGTTGCATCTCCACTGTTTCTGTGTGCCGGCAATATTTATTGCCGGCACACCCTAAACACTAAAAGCTCAGCTGTGTCCCCTGGCCTGGAGGGTTGATGTTCCAATAAGTCCCTGCTGAAGGGACGAAACTCTCGTTGTTCTTACTGAAAATCCCCTCCTTGTGTGGCCTTCATTCTTGGCCAGATTTTGGGAAAATAATCAGGAAAAATAAAACGACACACAACTGTTGGTGTCGCAATATTTGCAGAATACTTCAAGGTGGCGAGACAGCAGCATTCATTCAGGTTGATTATCGGCAGGTTTTCAAGTATATAGACCCATAAAAATTCTGTTAATAGACATAAAATCTGATTTGAATCACCTGAAATGGGTTTTTCTTGGAGGCAAGGGCCATAGTTCTACTTTTTTTATTGCAAAGATCTAATGATGCAACTGATGAGTCATATGATAAAATACTGACATGCAGAGAATTTTTTTTTTGTCATGGAACAAGTTTTTGGGGAAAATCATGCAGCACACAGGATGACAGAATGAAAGCAGATTTCTTTTATGGGCTGAATATAGTTTTTGGCAATGGATGGTCCGCATGTGTACTGGTCCACACAACCATTTTGTCAATTTAAATTTTATTTCACTTTTAAAATCATTGTACTTCATGATAAATTCTCTTTTTTTTTTAATATTTTTCTCCCTGGAACAATTGAAAATTTTTTTGATTGAAGTCCATGATGGATGGGGAAATTTTGATTTGTATAAAGGAACCATTCATGCAATAAACATAGTGCTTGACTAAATTATAGTGAGACCACTAAATACAGGCACATCAACATACAGATGATTAGACTCAGGGACACCTTAAAATATCTGTCCATCATCCAGACAATGTTTTGACATACAGACAATTTTGCAACATATCTGGAAAAGGGGAATTTTAAATTTTTTTTAAACTTGGATATCTCCTGATTTCTGAACTAATTCGGCTATTTGTATTTGCAAAAGTTAGAAATGGTTTTTTAAAGTTACTCAATTTTATAGTACAAAAACTGTTTAGTTTTATGCTTCTTTTCTGGAGAATTCTCTATCATCTGTGCAAAGAATAGTAATACTTGCACATTTTCTTTGCCTTTTGGGGATCTTTTTGAATTTTCGATGCCAGATGATCAGATTTCCTTTGGTTTTCTTGTGCCTAGTTATATTCTGAATATTTAAATTGAATTTTTTTTTTCAATTTTTGGGGGGATGAATTCCTAATCATTCAACAATTGGAGAACCAATTATTACTTGCCATTGAAGTGTAAGGGGAAAAGTGTTCCATCAGGCAACATTTGTGATACATGGACAATAAGGTCCAAGCAATAATGATGTCCACACCTCAGAGTCTCACTTGTTTTTCTTGAATGAGGTACCCTTGTACAGTATTACAAAATGGAAACTTTAATTTCAAACATGAAGTACAGTATTTTAATTTTGCGGTGTTTTTGACACAACTTTAGCTGTGTATGGTGACAACGTTTCTGTCAGGTGGATGTGATTTTTCAGAATTTTCGCTTTGGCCAGAAGCCAGTATATGTTGAGAGTGAGGTTCCATAAGCATGCGCCTGTATACATTTACAGCGCTTGCGCCGCGTTCCTTGGATTATGTGCTTCTGGATCTTGTGTGAGCAGCCAGGCAACATACATTCAGTCAGGTTTGTTCTGAAGAGGTGAAATTATCTGCTTTTTCTAGCCACTACCTCTTTTTTTTTTGGAAGCATAACTCAGTAATGAATTATTTTTAGCTACTGTAGGTTTTCTTGCGCCTAAAAACCATTTTCAGCATGATTTTTGCTGGGTTCATTTTTTTCATCTTCCCCCTTCCCCATTTTTTAAACCCAGGAAATTTGTTTTTAGAAAAAGAAGATGTTCAGATGACTTTTGAAGAATTTTTGTCCTTGATGCCACGTNCTCACTTCCCGACTAGCTAGCAAGCTGAAACTTTCAGGATAGCTTAGAAACTGATGACAATGCAATCTTTTGTGAAAAGAAAAATTATAAGAATATTTTTTAAAAAGAATAAAATAATTATAGTAGATTAAAAAATTAATCTAAAAAACCACGTTTTTCAAGTAAGACTAAAAAGCACAAAAAAATTTAGTAAATTAAAAAAATAATCTAAAAAACCACATTTTGAAAAAGGAAAAAATAACCTTAAACGTGGTGCGCATGGAGATTGTTGGGAAGAAGTGAAATACAAATGAAATAGATGCGCACCACGTTTAAGGTTATTTTTTCCTTTTTCAAAACGTGGTTTTTTTAGATTAATTTTTTAATTTACTAAATTTGTTTGTGCTTTTTAGTCTTACTTGAAAAACGTGGTTTTTTAGATTAATTTTTCAATCTACTATAATTTTTCTCCTTAATGTTTTAAAACCATGAATCTCAAATACAACTAATTTTCTATCATAACAAAATTTGTCACCAAATCCCCATTAAGGAGGAATTAATAGTAACATGATTTTACTGTATATGCAAGTGGATGATTTATTTGTATTCATAAAATGAAAAAAAAACATGAATGTCCCTGTTGCGTATCACGGCTCAAGATCGAAGGAATGGCCCTGGATGATTTTCTTGGATTTTTCTAACGAGTTGTCTCTTGATAGCAGGGATACCACCAAGGCGTAATTATAAGTGAATTTTGAGAAAGTTGTTCAATTATGGCCAAGTACGAAATTATCATGATTCGCCACGGCGAAAGTGCGTGGAATAAGGAGAATCGATTCTGCGGCTGGTTCGACGCCGATCTCAGCGAAGCCGGTGAGTTTATTTGTATGGCATTGAGCAAGGAACATAATCCCTATATGTTCCTTGCTCAAAACGTTCACTGTCCACGTCAGAATCTTCCCATCTTGACATTTAAAGAATCAATTAATTCGTTTCGGACAAATTATGCACAACGTGGTGATACGGAAAAACTTTGCGTTAAAATAATCAGCAAAATAATAAAAAGAGCTGCCACTAATAATTTCATATTTAAAAAAAATCATGCACTTGTTCAATGGTATCAGAAAACACTTTAAAATATACTTTAAATTAGAATCTGCCTTGAAATTTCCCTTGAAATTATCCCATAATAGTGAAATCATGATTTAAACAATTTTAATTCACAAATTTTAGTGTTGCACCTTATTTTTTCCGTTGACTCGAGGTTCGTCAATTTCATTGCCTGAGGGAAAATTTCGCGTTATTTGTTTTTTAAAACGCTCCCTGATCAGGGTGTTCGTTCCTTGAGGAGTATAAGGACCCACTGTTTTTCAAGAGTAGACCTTTAATTTTTGTGCGTAATCCGAAGCAATACAAAGAGAAGTTTCACTGAGAAAGTGAATACGCAGAACCCTGGGGTTAATGCTCTTGGGCTTGCTAAATTTGGTAAAGTTGTTTTAAAAATGTATATCCGTGGAGCAAGAAAATAAAATACAGCTTGTTGATCAATCAATCAATCAATCAACGAGAAAAATGCAGTATTGGATTCCAATATTAAACAAACAATACAGCGCTGTGTTTACAAATTTTTTGTGGTAGGTAATTTGCAGTGACCCTGGAATTTAACTGGCTTATCGTTTCACCTCCAATTGCTGATTCATTTGTTGCTTGAATTTCAATGCATGTAAAGAAGATGTGCGCATTGTTCTATACATGTGTGTCTTCCAGAATGCACCTCTCTCAGCTTATTCAAGGGTAGGCAATAGTTGTTCAATTATGGCCAAGTACGAAATTATCATGATTCGCCACGGCGAAAGTGCGTGGAATAAGGAGAATCGATTCTGCGGCTGGTTCGACGCCGATCTCAGCGAAGCCGGTGAGTTTATTTGTACAGCATTGAGCAACAAACATAATCCCAATTTTCCCTGCTCAAAACGTTCACTGTCCACGTCAGAATCTTCCCATCTTGACATTTAAAGAATCAATTAATTCGTTTTGGACAAATTATGCACAACGTGGTGATATGGAAAAACTTTGCGTTAAAATAATCAGCAAAATAATAAAAAGAGCTGCCACTAATAATTTCATATCTAAAAAAAATCATGCACTTGTTCAATGGTATCAGAAAACGCTTTAAAATATACCTTGAATTAGAATCTGCCTTCAAATTTCCCTCGAAATTATCCCATAATAGTGAAATCATGATTTAAACAATTTTAATTCACAAATTTTAGTGTTGCACCTTATTTTTTCCGCTGACTCGAGGTTCGTCAATTTCATTGCCTGAGGAAAAATTTCGCGTTATTTGTTTTGTAAAACGGCTCCTTCAGGACCCACTGTTTTTCAAGAGTAGACCTTCAATTTTTGTACGTAATCCGAAGCAATACAAAGAGAAGTTTCACTGAGAAAGTGAATACGCAGAACCCTGGGGTTAATGCTCTTGGGCTTGCTACATTTCGTAAAGTTTTTTTTTAAATATATTTCCGTGGAGCAAGAAAATAAAATACAGCTTGTTGATCAATCAATCAATCAATCAACGAGAAAAATGCAGTATTGGATTCCAAGATTAATCCAACAACACAGCGTTGTGTTTGCAAATTTTTTGTGGTAAGTAATTTGCAGTGACCCTGGAATTTAACTGGCTTATTGTTTCACCTCCAATTGCTGATTCATTTGTTGCTTGAATTTCAATGCATGTAAAGAAGATGTGCGCATTGTTCTATACATGTGTGTCTTCCAGAATGCACCTCTCTCAGCTTATTCAAGGGTAGGCAAACTTCTAAACTTTGTCAATTTTAAATAGTGATGGAGGCCTTGAGATGTTGATGTGATTGGTTATTTTGAACCTTGTCCCTATTTCAGAACTATTGCAGAGCACATCCCCTTTTCCCCATGGACTTCAATGGGAAGATATTTGATAGGTTTCAGAAAAAAGGGGGAACAGTCCCACAGAATTTTAAATAAAATTGTTTTCTTAGCTGTTGGAAACAGCAGATCACTGTGCAGAATAAAGCCACACAGAATCTAATGTATGGGCATGACAAAGAGCTCAAGAAGCTCAGAAAAAAAATTCCTCTTCAGCACACAGATTATGGGAAAACTCTAATGAGGCACAACATTAGCCTTTTTTGGATTATGACTCAGAATTAATTTGAAAAACCATATTTTCAATTTTTTGTAAACCACCCTTTTCATCAAAGAGATTTCTGAAAGAGTTGCAGTAGGTGAGACCATTTCCAGTGTGTGTGTTATTGACAACTGGCTGGTGTTCACCACTCAGAGCAGTCAGGGGTGGCCAACAAATTCAGTGAAATCTTGTGAGCCTCTAAAACATGAACTTTCCATACTGTCAGGTAACTTTCATGACAGCAGACAAAAATCCTCATGAACCATGCTCCTGGGTCTGACAAAAAAATGTAAACATACAAGAGACCTAAATTAGACAGACCATTACCAGTCTTATGGTACATTGATGTCCCATTAGGGGCAAAATACTGCAAGGAGCAGGAACAAAGGACTATTGTCCCTTCATAAATACAGACATGGAATGCATCTTTGCACAGTTTCCAGCAACAGATGTCAAAATTTATTCTTCAATTTTCTTAAAACATTGGCTGAATGTCTGATGTGTCCTGAGACAGTGTCCACATGTTTGGGCAGATTTTTCTGAAGTTTCAAGTTTTGTATACAGTATACCCAAGTCGAATTGTCCGTATGTTGGGGGCCACACTGTTCTCTCTGTTTGGAGAACATTTCCAGCAGCCTTCAACTACTGTTTCGAATTTATTTAAACTATAAGAATTGCCAAATGAATTCCTTTTCCGAAATAATTCAATAAAATACATCTGTACAATGCTTGTTACATCAATTTCAATTGATTTTCCAGGATGATGAAAAAAAGGGAAAAAAACTACACACTCAGTATATGGCTTTCATCATTGCAGAGATCATGCATAACTTACCTAATGCTGGTACTGTACTGCAGTACAGTAGTACACATATGATTCAGGCATATTATTCAAGATGTCTTCAATTAAAGAGGATTCATTGGACTTGAGTAGAAGGACAATCAAAATAGATGGAACTCTAACACCCTCATCATCAAGCAGGGTACTGAGGACAATCCAAATATAGTTGAACCTTGATAACTCAAACCTCCTCAGGTGAAATACAGTACCTTTATGTGTCCAATTTTTCTAGTCCTCATCTGAATTCCCTTTTAAAAAACGTACAAACAGATTTTTTTAAATTTTGAATGTCATTGTATTGACACAAGAAAGAAAAAAGCAATAGAAATATAACTTGATGTACAGTATTTTGAAAGTAAGTGAGAGAATTGGGCGAATGAGCCCTTGTCTCCAAGTTCAGAATTATTCTGTCAACTCATTTGAAGAAGCAATTTAATGCCTAGAAATCACCAATCACAGTATCCCAAACTCCGTCTGTCTTTCTCCAAAAAAAACATGCTTGTTTTTTTTAAACCCAAAACCTCCCTAACTAATTTTTTTTTCCTTGGCCCTTCATTGAAGTTTGTCTTAAAGAGGCACAACTGTACAGTTTATTCTCAGAAAAATAATAGGTCTGGTAGTAAAATATGGCCCAGGCACAGTTTAGTCCTGCATTTCCGTTGTTAAACAAGTACCATAGGAAAGCCCTAGGCTGTTTCCATTTTTACTTTGGAGTCACAATTTATTTTTGCATTCAGATGGATTCTCAACTTTGCACAAACGATGTCTCAGGTGGAAGCGACCTCTGATTTTTTAAAGTACATGTGGTTGTAAGAACAAAAAACATCATTACTACACAGCCCATAATGTTTTAAAAGGTTTTGGGAGTTTTTTTCTTCATATTTTTGAATAAGTTTTGAATTTACTGTATGATGATAAGGAACCACTTTGTTGTGGGAGCCTGGGTACTCCATCCATGTCACAGGGTGCTAAAAGTTGTCAGGCGAGATGAAAAAAGAACCTGAAGTTGTTCTGGTAGTACCATTATCTTATGTACATTTTAGAGGATAGTTAAAACAGAAAAATATTAAAATCTTGAACTAGCCTGACAAATGTCAAGCACCCTGTGACATGGGTGGAGAACTCTGGCTATACAGTAAAATCTCATTACAACAAATTCCATTAAAACATACAGTACTGTGTTTTTCACTGCAGCAACATTTTCTCAAGTCCCTGCATAAAGCCTGTAGAATACACATTGAAGCAATCACACGGCAAAAAAAAGTTCAGTTCCAGTAAAAAAAAAACTTTTTGAGGAACATGTTGTGATTTTTCCCAATACTGTATAGGAAACCCCATGTTGAAGACAGACATAATCTTAAATTTTCCATTTAAAATGTGACTGTGACAGGCTCTTATTGAGATGACATGAATAAAAGGTGGAATCCAGAACAATAATTATTCAAAATTCATCTCTTTCAAAGCTTTTTCTGGGGTCAGGAAGGATCGGGAACAAGGGGGGGGGGGGGGTTTAAGATGAGAAAAACGAACCAAGGAAATTTCATGTTCAAAGTGCTTTATATATAAAAGGGAGCCCTACTGAAATAATGAATACTTTAAATGTATGTTTACTTTGAAACAATCTTAATTCCCAGTCAAAAGTTTAAAAAATCCCATTCAAAAAAACAAAAGGTTTCTTCAAGCAAACTTTTTTGAAGTCCCCATAAGTTTGTTGTAGTGAGATTTTACAGCAACTGGAAACTTTCAACTTTTCATGCAATGAATTAAAATTTATTTGAAACCACCCAAAAACCCCGAAACCTAACAGAATTATGGGCTATAATCTCATTTAAAAAATGATTCATCATCACAAACTTTTCTTGAAGTCCTCATGAGTTCGTTTTTATGAGATTCACTGTAAGTGGAAAGTTTTCACTCATCATGCAGTAAATGGGAAAAACTTCTTTAAAAATCTGAAAAATGCCATAACCTTACAAAATTATGGGGTACAATCGCATTCTAATGAATTATTCATTATATGTATAAACTTTTTCTGAAGTTTGTTGTTATGAGGATTCCATCAAATTAACTGGAAAGTTATCACTCATCCTGCAGTAAATGTTAGAAAAATCATTCAAAAGTCTGGAAAAAATCCCAGAACCTTACAAGATTATGCGTGGACTACTATATGTGACCATGCTTTTATTTTAAAATTGCACAAACTTTAAAGATTTTAGAGGTCGCCTTCAACTGGGACACCCCTCATACATGTCGAATCAGTCCAGACCAGAAGACACCCACCAGATGGGCGTGTGATCATTCAGTCTACGTGACTTTTGTCAGGTATCCAGGAGGCACAGCGTGGAGGTCAAGCCCTGAAATCAGGTGGATACAAGTTTGACCTCGCCTACACATCGGTGTTGCAACGGGCTCAGAAAACCCTGGGAACAGTCCTCAAAGAAATCGGCCAAGAGAATATCCCCACTGTGAAAACATGGCGACTCAATGAGAGACATTACGGAGCTCTCACTGGACTCAACAAGGCAGAAACTGCTGCCAAACATGGAGAAGCACAGGTGATACAAGGGATTTTCCATTTGTGACGACTTTCTTCTTATAGGCGTTATGTTATGAAAATCTCACTTTACCAAACCCATTTTTAAAGGCTCTTATCTTATTCCAGCAAATTTTTGGACCTGATTCAGTGCATGGGCCAGAGGGATTATTCCAACTATAAATGAGAAATGCAAAAATTGAAATGGTGCAATATTCCAACTTTTAAGAATCAAAACTTTCTGTAGATATAATGTAGTGATAAAAAAACACAACAATAAATAGTTCTTGTTTTTTTTTAGCTACATTTCAGAATGTGTGTCTTCCTTTTAAAAAAGATATGTTGGAAAGAATTTTCCTCTACTTGAGAAAACAAACAGGTTTGAATGAATCAACAGACTCAAGAGGAATTCAAAATACATAGCTTAACCCAAATGTATTTTTGTTTCTCTCTATTCTCATGACAACGCTTTGGTGGAAAAAATAAACTGGCTCAGTGAAAGGAAAGGACTGGTTGACTCTCTGCACAATGAAGTGCAAGGGGTCAGTAGAAATTCATTGTACAGAGAATTTTTGTTGGAGAGAACACACATAACATAGGGAGAGAACCCCATGGAACCAAAGAAAACTTTTTCAAGTTGTTGTAGAGAGAGTCCACCTTTACTATTCATTCCAAACACTTTCTTTTCATTTCTTCAGAGATATTTGGAAAGTATGACAGGTCTTGACTTAACTATTTTAGAAGCATCTTACACTATTTATTACCCATTCCTACAAGATGTAATTCAGAAATGTGTTAAAAACCATGAATTGACACCTTTTCATTGGAATGCATTTTCATCAGTTCTCTGGAGGATTGATGTGAACAGATGTTACTAAATTGGTTCAAATGTCCTGGATTGACAAATCTTAAGGAATTCCTGCAAGTAAAAAAAATATTTGTGTTGAATGCTTTTTCAGGTGCAAATTTGGCGACGTAGTTATGACATTCCTCCTCCACCAATGGAAGAAGACCATCCCTATTACAAGCTTATTGTGGAAGATGAGCGTTACAAAGCTGAGCCTCCAAGGGCTGAGTTCCCCATGTTTGAATCACTGAAACTGACCATTGAGAGGACATTGCCATTTTGGAATGATGTGATCTGTCCTGAGATCAAGGCTGGGAAGAAAATTTTGATTGCTGCTCATGGGAACAGTTTGCGTGGGATTGTGAAGCACCTGGAAGGTAAATGTTCATTTTGTCCCTCCAAGAAATTGTATGGACACTTATTCATGTTTAAAGGGATGCAATTTTTGACAAGTGTAACAAGAACTGGGCTTTTCAACCAGTTTGTTTTGTACAAGAAAATACAGTCAACCCCTGCATAATGCCACTAATTTCCCTGGAAAAAACCTTCCCCTACTCTGTTCTTAATTAAAAGAAACCCCAATTCAGTGCAAACTCACTTATTGGTGCCACAAGTCTGGTGAGCAAATGTTTGTCTTGAACAAATCAAGTTTTTCAGCCAAGGGTCCACTGTTTATTCCACATTGCAGTCTCTCTAAAAAAACCTTCTGATACCTCTAATAGTCCAATGGATATTTTTTTAACTTTTAGATTTGTCTGAAGAAGCCATCATGCAGTTGAACCTGCCCACTGGGATCCCATTTGTCTATGAGTTGGATGAGAGCTTGAAACCCACTGGATCCATGACGTTCCTTGGAGATGAAGAAACAGTCAAAAAAGCCATGGAAGCTGTGGCAGCCCAAGGAAAGGCCAAATGAAGCCTTTGAAAGTGCCTGTCTGTTTACATGTGGTACATTTTCCAGTAGAATCTGTGGAATAATCTAGCCTGACTGAAACTCAAGTGATGCTCCAGAATGCAGATTTGTTATGTACAGAGTTGTAAAGTTTACGGGTTATTCCTCTTGGTCAAGACGTTCTAAACTATTTGAAGAGACATAAACGGTTTGTGTGTGTCGTAGAAGGATGTACAGTGAGGTTGTGTTCGTGTTATTATTTCGTCGTTTATGTGGATCCTTTTGTTTCTCCATTCATATAACAAGAAAAATCAGGGTCAATTGGATATCAGTCATAACTCATAAGTCCTGCATCAAAAAGTTTCAATCTGGAGATGTGTACATCATATACAAACTGACACTTTCAGACAAAGCACAGCAGAACTTCACACTGATGAGAAATAAACCTTATTCTTCCACTTATGTCTGTTCACACAAAATAATCTTTTTAATTTCCTACCAGAACAAAAAATCATTAATTGATGCATGTGAAATCTGCAATGCATGTCTGGAAATGAAAAAATAAATGTATGACCTTCACCTGTCTAATTTTTTTCTTTTTCCTTCCATCTCTGTCGTGTACCATTTGGAGGTTGCAGTCTTCCTGTTTCAAGTGCAACAGCACTCACAATTCCAGAGTGAGAAAAAAAATCACAAACATTGTGTGGTGAACAAACCTGACACAACCCACTTTTTGGGGTTGCAGTGCCCCTTTTTCAAACCTCAGCATGGACTGGTATTTTGTTCCTGGATCACAGTAGTAAAACCAGGTCCCATCTCTAATCACAATCATTATTAAATTTTGAAGACTTCCTATTTTTGAATTTTTAAAGGATGAAAACTTATGTGAATTTTACTCAAGCAGTTTTCTGCTCTTCACTCAAAATATGCAGCACCCATCTTGCAGATTTTTTCTTTGAGTAGCCCAGCTTCTCATTGAAAACCCCTGAAATGGACAGAAAACTTTCTGCACAAAAGTTGAGAAAACCACTTGGCCACAGTCAATAAGGATGA